TCTCTTAGCCCCTCCATCCCCCAACAGGCCCCAGTGTGTGATGTTCCCCTCCCTGTGTCCATATGTTCTCATTGTTCAACATTCACTTATGAGTCAGAACATGAAGTGTTTGGTTTCCTGTTCTTGCGTCAGTTTGTTGAGAGTGATGCTTTCCAGCTTCATCCATGTCCCTGCAAAGGACATGAACTTATCCTTTTTTATGGCTGCATAGTAGTCCATGCTGTACATGTGCCACATTTTCTTTATCCAGTCTATCATTGAGGGGCATTTGGGTTGGTTCCAAGTCTTTGCTATTGTAAACAGTGCCACAGTGAGCATACATGTGCATGTGTCTTTATAATAGAATGATTTATAATCCTTTGGGTATGTATTCAGTAATGGAATCGCCAGGTCAAATGGTATTTCTATTTCTAGATCCTTGAGGAATTGCCATACTGCCTTCCACAATGGTTGAACTAATTTACACTCCCACCAACAGTGTAAAAGCGTTCCTTTCTCCACATCCTCTCCAGCATTTGTTGTCTCCAGATTTTTTAATGATCGCCATTCCAACTGGTGTGAGATGGTATCTCAAGGTGGTTTTGATTTGCATTTCTCTAATGACCTGTGATGGTGAGCAACAAAGTAACTGTTAATGTATCAGTGTAACAATTAGTTGATGAATTTATTTGAAACTGAGCCTTTCTCTGTTGCCCAGGCTGGAGTGCAGTGGCACAATCTTGCCTCATCGCAACCTCTACCTTCCAGGTTCAAGCAGTTCTCCTGCCTTAGCCTTTTGGGTAGCTGGGACTACGGGAGTGTGCCACCATGCCTGGCTAATTTTTGTAGTTTTAGTAGAGATGGGATTTCCCCATGTTGGCCAGGTTGGTCTTGAACTCCTGACCTCAAGTAATGTCTGCCTCAGCCTCCCAAAGTACTGGGATTACAGGTCTGAGCCACTGTGCCCAGCCCTCAATGTAACACATTTAAATTGTTAAAATGTGTAAGAGAATATAATATATTGGCAAAAAGTGCACATTTAACATAATTTACTTTCAAATAAATACTATTTATGTTTGAAATAGAGCCATAGTATACTCAAAAATGGTGGTGTGCAGATTTTGGCCTTTTTTATTTTTAGTTGACACATAATTGTACATATTTATGGAGTACAGAATGACATTTTAATACATGTATACAATATGTGATGATCAAATCAGGGAACTTAGCAAATCCATCATGATACCTTCTTCAATAAATGATTCTGGGCTAGTCCTCTCTTTCTCACAATATACAAACCCAACTCAAAATGGATTAACGACCTGAAACCATAAAATTACTGGAGGAAAACATGGGGGAATTACTTCGTGACATTGGTCTAGGCAAAGGTTTTATGGGTAAGACTTCAAAAGTGCAGATTTTTGACTTTTGTCTATTTATGTGAAAGAGGCAAATCTTGAGAACTGAAGAAGGCCTTAAAGTAGCAGAACAAAGGAAATGAATGGTGTATGGATTCGGCATTCTTTGTAGGGTTGTATAGATGTTAAAAGGTAACTGAGCAGAGGATCTAAGGGGGTTAAAAAGGATTAAAAACTTCCTGGTCTCATTAGACATAACTTTTACCAATCTGTTTTCTGTTTTAGTTTCTGTGATATTGTCAGTAAGTTCTGCTCCATTAAATCGTTTGTGTTTATCATCTTGATGGATTCTGAAAAACACTGGCTAACTTCTCTGCTTTTCTTGCTTTGCTATGTATAGTTTTCACTGTGGAGCAATTACTTTCATTGTTACCAAAAAAGACACCTGCAGGATGACTGAGCAAGAAGAAACAGGGCTGTGGTGGCTGAGATCTTAAACCAAAAAAGAGCAACGGTTGATAAAACATATTTTATCTTAAGAACTTGTCAACATTACAGAAATTTTCAGTCCAAAGCTATAGTATTTTTTTCTCATTATAGAAGTGGTAGGCAAAAGCCCTTCAGTGAAGGAAGGTTCCTGGAGAGGAGAGAGCCATCACATCACTTCTCAATTCTATTCTTATGTTGTGCCGACACCATCAGCACCAGCAGCTGTAATGGGTGTGTGTAAACAGGGACCTGTCTCTGCAGAGACCTGGCTTCCCATGAGACCATATGCAGTAGACATTTAGTTAGGGCTTAATAAACATTGATTATGGAATGACTTGACTCAACACTTGTAAGTGTTTTGAGTACTTATTAATGTCTTGAAATGTCTTCCTCTTGGACTAGTGGGAACCTAAGATATTACAGTTATGAGAGATGAAGTTGTATAACTGAAGTCTTCCATATTTATTTAGCCTATCAAAAATGATTTCTTTTAAAAGAACCTAAGGGCATACTGAGAAAGTTAACTTGTGTAGAACTTACTTTGCTGCTATGTTCCAAGAATTTAGGTAATGTTTAATTATATAAAATTAATTCTATTTAATTATATGAAATCATGATGTTAACCCTGAGTCCTGTTCCCGCTTTTGATAAAATTTAAGCCAAATATCAAAAGCCATGTACATAAAACATATTGTTCCAAACTGTTCTCATAAAATGTTTTCTGTTTACCTGCCAAGAGTTATAAAAAAAGATAAAAATTGTTTTGTCTGCCATTCTTTCTGCACTCATTTACATGTCCCAAGGAGTCGCACATTTCTGTTTGTTAGCAAGGTTGTCTCTGGTGCTTTTTATGAAAATATTGATAGGGAATTGCTGGCCCCAAAGATGGGCAAGCACACAGGTATATGAATACCTTCCTCTCAGAATCAGTCCCAAATAAGCAGTGGTTCTGCATGTCTGAGCTTCTAGTCAGAAAAGTCAATGACTTGGGACTTGGGGGCATTTCTCCGATGGCCTGCAACAAGGCCAGCTTTTTTTTTTTCCCAGTTAGAAAAAGTGTTGATGAGATCTCAGTAATAAAAATGAATGAACTATTGGTAGGTGCAACAACATGGGTGAATCTTAAAATAAGCATGGTGAAAAAAGCCAGAAAAAAAGGCGTACATCCTATATGATTTCATTTTTATAAAATTCTAGGAAACACAAACTCATCTGTAGTGACAGAAGAAATCAGTGGTTGCCTGAGGATGTGGGGGGTCAGGAGGAGAGTGGGGCAGTGGGCAGGTGGATAGGATTACAAAGAGGGATGAGAAGAGTCTGGGAGGTGATGGCTGTGTTCATTATCTTGATTATCATGACAGTGTCATGGGTGCATACTTATGTCAACATTTATCACGTTGCATACCTTGTATTTGTGCACTTTAATGTTGTCTATTATACCACATAGAAAATAAGAGGGGGAAATATTGTATTACTGTTGTAAACAGAAATCAGTTGACACTTGTCATAGACAGCAGGTAAGAAGGAAAATAAATGCAATTAAAATAGAACAATTGAAGAAAATCCTGCCTTCTCCTGTGGAATCTAGGGCACAGGAAAGCCCCCTGTGTTTGATAATTACACTCTTATCTGATGTTTGACTCTCAAAATATCTTTTTTGATGGGCAGGCAATTATGTTTTTATTGTCAAGAGCTGGGTTTTGGGGCTGGGTGCGGTGGCTCATGCCTGTAGTCCCAGGACTTTGGGAGTTCAAATCAGGAGGATTGCTTGAGGCTGGAAGTTCAAGACCAGCCTGGTCAACACAGCGAGACCTTGTCTCTAAAGTAGAGAAATTAGCCAGACATGGTGACACTTGTTTGTAGACCCAGCTACTCAGTGGCTGAGCCAAGAGGATTGCTTGAGCCCAGGAGTTTGCAGTTACAATGAGCTGTGATTGTGGTGCCATGCACCCCAGCCTGGGTGACAGAGTGATATCCTATCAACAAAACAAAACAAACCAACAAGAGCAGGGGATATGGAGTTTGGCAGACTTGGGTTTGGCCCAGTGGCCCAGTCATCTGCTGGCTGTGGGACTTCGGGCAAGACATTGCCCTTTTTTTCCGTCGAATCTGTGAAATGGGTTAGCAGAAGCATAGTAAGTCCTCAATAGATGCAAGCCATTTTTGTCATTTTTATTTATTTCACATTGTGATGCCCGCAAGATTTCAAATGCAGGTCGTTTGGGGTGAGAAAATATAGTATTTTAAATTCACAAGGGGGCTGTTCATGTTACCAAGAAGAATCAAGTCCTTTAGCAAAGTGTTGCCTAAAAAAACCAGAGGTCAGCACAGGAAAGGAAAGGAACACAGGGAGAGGAACATCGGATTTGTCAAAATGCCCACTGTTTTCTGTGTTTTTCTCAGTGGGCATTGAGCTCCGAGGTGACCCTCTTGTGTGGTTTCTCTGCTTTTAGTGACCTCTGCTCTTTGCAGGTTTTAATTGTTATGAATTCATTAGTCTTTTCCCTTGTTAAATAATAATGCCATTGCTTAAAATATTGCACTTTCTCTCAAAAGTGCTGTATTTATGTTTGCTTATTTAGAAATTCATTCTGGCATTTAGCATGTATTTTTTTGTCATTCATCTCTAAGAAAAATGTTGGACTTTTAAAATGTTTTACTTAAAACTGACTGATAGATTTGGTTTAATCGGACTTTTTATTAGCTTTATAAACTTAAAAATAATATATATATATTTATGGAAGTAAAGTTGATCAGTTTATCTTAAATTGGTCATATTGTTGATTTATAAGTTTGGAGGAAAATATAATTTCTTTTACTCTGAAGTAATGTTGTTTTCCTGTATAGAAACTAAGAGAATTACTTGGCTTCCGATGATCTTTGCCTAGTTTTTTCTTCTGCCAACTGGTGGCAGGGATTTGACAAGTGATTGATTTGGTTTCAGAGGGTCCTGGAATTACACAAATTGTTTTTAATATTGGAGAAGACATGTCCAGTTTTTCACAAGTTTTAAGATTTATTGCCTCACCCTAACATGTTGTAAGTTAGTTTGTTTGCTATTTATTTTACTCAGAATGTAGTAATTGGCGTCATTAGTGTAAGGGTAAATTTGATCAGAAGAAAGGGCAGACCGCTATTTAACTCTATTTATTTGTTTCTTTGCCAACTTTGCAGGGCTGGAGATAAGATGGGTAGACTGCTATTTTCCTTTTACGCATCCTTCCTTTGAGATGGAGATCAACTTCCATGGAGAATGGCTGGAAGTTCTTGGCTGCGGGGTGATGGAGCAACAACTGGTCAATTCAGGTAGAAAAGAATCCCACATTTTATTTACACTTGCGCTAAAGGAATCCTGTCTTCTCAGGCAGCCCCACTGCACACTTGCACGTATTTACATCCTTCTGTGGGGCAGCAGCAACATTGTTCTCTCTTGAGATTCCCCTCTAGATTTGTCTTTGATACTAAGCCCTGGAAAAACTATTTCTCACATCTCTATTTGCAAAGGCTCTTTGTCTTTGGAGATCCTCCTTGTCAGCACTTGGCTGCTGGATTTGCATGTGTTGTGATTTTGTATGTGTTGATATGTTGCTTTGTAATTGCCCCAAAGGCATTTGGTGCTTGTCACAGAAGTGTAGTTTGTCTTTCAGACTATTTAAGAACAAAACAATGCATAATCTATTTTTGTTCTTATTGCACTTAGTATAGTGCCTGAAATTCAGCAAGTATTTTATAAATGCTTAATCCATCACCTCCCTCTGCATAGGCAGTGCTACCTGACTGCAAGAAATTGGAAAGACAAGGGTGCTGATGAATTCTACCCACGTCTATGGGTATTTCAGAAAGATCTGCCTGTCTCTTTTCTGTAAGACTATTGATTAATAAAAACGATTGCTCCTAAACATAATTTCAGAGCTGTGAGGTTTTCTTTTTAAGTCACTATCTGAATTTAATTAAAAAATATTTTTGGGGGTCTGGTGTCGTGGCTTGCACCTGTAATCCCAGCACTTTAGGAGGCTGTGGCAGGCGGATCACCTCAGATCAGAAGTTCCAGACCTGTCTGGCCAACATGGCGAAATCCTGTCTCTACTAAAAATATAAAAATCAGCTGAGCATGGTGGTACACCTGTAATGCCAGCTACTGAAGAGGCTGAAGCATAAGAATCACTTGAACCTGGGAGGCAGAGGTTGCACTGAGTCAGTATGGCTACACTCCAGCCAGCGTGGCAAAAGAGCAACACTCTGTCTAAAACAAAACAAAACAAAAATTATATGTATCTAAATACCTATGTAACTATTTTAGTTATATAGGTATATAACTAAATAACTAAATTACCTATATAACTAAATATAACTAAATTATATATATACCTATATAAATTATATAACTATATTCAGAGTATAAATCCTATATATGGTTATATAGATACACAGATACATATATTCAGAGTATAAATCCTCCAAAAAAAGGGGGGAAGTTGGTTTGGATTGGGCATTTGAGCTCACTGCATAAGCAGTGAGCACCAAATAGGATAGGAACTGATGTGGATTGTTCTGGAAACCTTTCCAGCTCTGCTGCCTTAGAAGGACATTTGCTGCCTGGCTTTGGAGGGCAGCTCTGACTCAGGGTTTGCTGTGTGGCTTCTTGTAGCAGAATGAAGAGAGGTCCTTCTTGGTAACTAAGAAATGTTAACAGACCATAGGTAAGGACATGATACCTCGTCATGGGCTTGGAACATGTGGATGAGCAGAGAGTGACAAGAGAGGTTGTGTGAAATGCAGGAGCTTGTGTTACCTGGGCTGGGAGACTGGAAGCGTGGCCTTCCCTTCTGGCTCTTAGGTACTCTCCATCCGCAGAGGCCTGGACTCCACAAGCTCCCAGATTCCTCTTCATCCTGCTGAGGAAGCCTCGGGGGAAAACCCAGCATAGGACCGGAGGCTCTGTGGGCAGTTTTCAAATAGATGAAAAGAGGAGAAAGAGCACAGGACATGAAATTAGGACCTGGGAGGAGAAGTTGTAAGGCCTGGGCTTGGGTTCTGGAAACCCAGGGTTTTGTCACAACTCTGTTAACTAACAGCCATGTATCTTCAGGCAAGTTTCATCACCCCATGAGTCTTAGCTTTCTCATGGTTAAGATGGGTGCAAGGATACACCCTCAGAGTTCCATCATGGGGACTGATTGAGAGGATTCCTCTAAAGTGCTTAGCAAAGGGTCCACCACACAGTGAACGTTCAGTAAAAATTGCTGATGTTGTTACGTTTAAAATTTTCTAATGGTTAGAGCTATTTATCAACAGAGGGTCCCCTTAGTAGGAAATATTTAAACAGACGCTGTTCCTGCCTGTCATAGAAACAATTTCTAACCAAGTGGAATTTGTTACTTCTTTGACCTGTAGTCATGTCTGTGTCTGTGATTTCATATCGAGTGAGTGATTTTACAGGGAAAAAGAAAAGTAAGAGTAATAAGAAACAGGAAGAAAAGGAAAATCAGCCTAGTAATAATAGCATCTCGACAGAAAACACAAACTACTGAGCATGAATATGAAAGACTTAATCCCTCCCTGAGTAGGAGCTAACTTCAAATATCTCTGTAGTGTTTTTATAGTTTTGCTTTTTAGAAAAAGATTTGAATGAATCCTAGGCTTCCTCCCAGGAGTGCCTGATATCAGGGCGCTGGAGTTCAGAAAGCAAACCAGGGATGATCAGCTTACACATCAGTTGTCATTTGGAATTGATCATGCTTCCTTGCACGGTTTCCAATACCCTTGATGGGTTTTTATGAGGTTTATTCACACAGTAATTGGCTGAATATCATTATCTGAAACAGGTTTCTAAATCATTATTGCACATTAATGAGGCTGTTGTTCTACAATTAGATTAGCCATGTTAGGTATTCTTGAATAGAATGGCAAAGTGAAAAAGACATTTACGTTGTAAATATGTTTCAGAGATTCACAGTGATGGTAGGATGTGCTTTGACTTTTGGGGAAACTGTACACATAAAATTTTATTTACTTACTTATTTTTGAGACAGAGTCTTGCTCTGTCACCCAGGCTGGAGTGAAGTGACGCCATCTCAGCCCATAGCAACCCCCGTGCCCCAGGTTCAAGTGATTCTCCTGCCTCAGCCTCCTGAGTAGCTGGGATTATAGGTGCCTACCACCACACCCTGCTAATTTTTGTATTTTTGGTAGAGATGGGTATTTGCCATGTTGGCCAGGCTGGTCTCAAACTGCTGACCTCAGGTGATCTACTCACCTTAGCTTTCGAAAGTGCTAGGATTACAGGCTTGAGTCACCACGCCCAGTCATAAAATTTAAATTAAACATTTCACAAGAGAGGGAAACTAAAGAAATAGAAGAGACGATTTTATAGATGAGATCTTGCCTAGACTTTGCTACTTGAATTTGAAGTTATTATGACGATGTTCTGCTCTGTGTTCTTAAATTTGAAGGTGTTTGGATGTCTGTGGTTAAAATTTTTAAACTGCCTGACAGTCACTAACCACAGACATTTGCAAGTGCAGCTGATTTTCTGTTTTCTGAGTTCTTATGGTGTGGAGAAAGACTGGCTATGTGTACTTTATCCTGCTCATTCAGTTTTGCTATTCTTTCTATCTCTTCTACATTTGCTTCCCTGCTCTCCCTTCCTTTTTCCTCCCTGCCCCTCCTTTCCCCTCTCTTTACTTTTCTTCATTTCCTTCCCTTTTAAAAGAGAACTTCCAAGAAACCATATAATTGATGACTCCCCTTTAAGGTTCTTACAAAGAATCAGGTGAGTGCTAAAATACCCAGAAAATGAAGAAGCTGATGGAGCAATGATAGTGGCAGACATCGGTTGAGCCCTTCCTATGTGCCAGCATCCTATAAAGCATGCTTTATATGCTTTCTTTCGTTTAACCATGATATCAAGGCTCCAAGGTAGATGCTATTCTAACCTGCATTTTACAGAGCCAGAGAAAGGTAATTTAGATCAAACAGGTGGACAGTGCTAGTGAAACTTGCTCAAGTCTTTCTAACAACAGTTGACTAATAAGCTGTGCTCCCCAAATAGTAAATTTTATGATTTTGAAGTTGCTAAAAATTCATTTCAAATACATCATTCCGCCTAACATAGAAATAAAAGAACTGAAACAAAGCGAAACAAATACACAGCAAACAAAACTTTATTTGTTCTGCAGTTACCTCTAAGGAAGGGCTGTGCCACCACGCCTGTTCTCTCCCTGTGACAGAGTGCATTTAATTAAAGCGTGACATTAGATTGTTAATGTAAACAGTCAGTGAAAACATTTTATTACACATTTAAGCGACGGTGGCATATATGTGTTTTTATGTGTGGAATTCTGCTCTTTGAAATGGCTTATAGCATTTTACTTTATTTCTTCTTCCTTAAGTCAGTGTCTTCACCATTGCTTTCAGACTCCTTAGTCTGAGTGATGGTGATGTGAGCGGTGACCATTTGCAGGCTGACTTGATTGTGTTTTCCTCAGGGAGGTATTTTGGGGACAGTACTGAGTCACATCCCTAAATACTACACACTTACCTCCCACTGGGTTGACTCAGGCTGCTGTGTCTTTTCACATAGTAAATGGAGCACCAGCATCCAAAACCATCACTGGGGCAACCATGGACCGTGATCAGGCCAGGAAGGGATTTGCCATTCCTTGACCCTGTGAGGTTTAGAAGATTTTACATGGCCCAAGAGAGAGAAGAAGCTTGATAGTAGAAAATATGTTTTTAAAAATGAAATTTCCTTTCGTACCTTTTTGTCTAAATTTAAAAAGTGGCTCTTTTTGGAAAACCTTATAAATAGGTACACAAACAGTTTTGGGTTTTAAAGGATTATTATTTGCTTGCTTATCAAATATTTCTTGAAGTCCTTCTAAGGCTGTAGCGAAGTGAATAAGCATTGCTCCTGCTTTTGAAAACATCACAGTGCACACAAACATATAAACAAATGATTACAGTACCATGTGGTAAGTATTCATAACAGGGGTACCTTGGGCAGAATGTGTGGGGAAGAGAAGGTGGTGCCAGGCCTTTCCCTGGTTGCATTCAGGATAGAATACAGATGTGATAGGTATTTGAAATGTGCATCCCAGAGTTGGTTAGGTTCTTGTTTGCAAGGAGGGATATACTTTTTCTTTGTTTTTCCTATATTAGCATGAATCTGTTTCCAGTCTGTCCCACTCTCTGGGCTATAGCCTCTACACATGCTTAACATGGTTCAGTGTTGTTGATCTAAGTTGGTGAATTTGTAATAGAATGGACCAAGGCTGTACCAGTAATAAACATGCCATTAATGTAAT